ATTGACCAGATTGTTTTTTTAAGTATATTTATAAAAAAATGAAAATAGAACAAAGTGGGAAATGAGACTAGGAAAGGCAATATGAGGACACTGGAACCAAGAATGGCTCAAGGCCGTCGGACTCAGTCAAATGCACCGGGAGATTAATTCGAGGTTCCTGACTCCTGGGCCTATGCTCTTCTCGTGAGTCTCACAACCATCCTCTCTGTGCTTCCTCTCTGCTCTTCTGAAACTGCCTCCTAGATCCCCATTACTCTTGTGCTACCTTGGAGGGTCACAGGCCCTTCTGTTCAAAAAAACCTCTCCTAGAGCAGCAACGTAACTTCTTTTAATTGTATTGTAAATTGACACGTAATAATTGTACATATTAATGGGGTGCACGCAAACATTGTGTAATGACCAAATTAAGATATTTAGCATATTCGTCACTTCAAACATTTATCATTCCTTTGTGGTGAGAACATTCAAAGTCCTCTTTTCTAGTTGTTTTGAACATACAATATTGTTAATCATAGTCACCCTACTGAGAAACAGAACACAAGAACTTGTTTCTCCTAACTGTAACTTAGTACCCATTCACCAGTTTCTCCTTACCATCCGCTCCTCCCTACACTCCCCAGCCTCTGATAACCACTATTCTATTGTGACCTTCTATTAGATCAGATTTTTAGATTCCACCAATGACTAAGACTGTGATATTTGTCTTTCTGTGCCTGGCTTGTTTCACTTAACATAATGTCCTCCAGGTTTATCCATGTTGCTACCAATATTAGGATTTCATTCTTTTTAAATGGCCATTTAGTATTCTGTATACATGCCATATTTTTTAATCCACTAATCCATTGATGGCCACTTAGGTCGATTCCAAATTTTGGCTATTGTGAATAGTGCTGCAATAAACATGGAGTGCAGATACTCTTCAACATAGTGACTTAATTTCCTTTGGATAAATACCCAGTAGTGTCATTGCTAGATCATATAGGTGTTCAATTTTCTAATTTTTGAGGTACCTTCAGGTTGTTATCCACAATGGCTATATTAATTTATATTCACACCAACAATATATAAGTGTTCTCCTTTCTTCACTCCATGCAAGCATTTGTTATTTTTTGCATTTTTTAATAATAGCTATGCTAATTGGGACAAAGTGATATCTCATTGTGATTTTGATATGCACATCCCTGATAATTAGTCAGCAGTCCCCAACCTTTTTGTCACCAGGGACCAGTTTTGTGGAAGATAATTTTTCCACAAATGGGGTTGTGAGATGATGGTTTCAAGATGAAACTGCTCCACCTCAAGTCATCAGGCATTAGATTCCCATAAGGATCACTCAACCAGATCCCTCGCATGCACAGTTCACAACAGGATTTGTGCTCTTATGAGAATCTAACGCCACCGTTGATCTGAGAGGAGGCAGAGCTCAGGTGGTAATGCTCGCTTGCCACTTCTCACCTCCTGCTAGGCAGCCCTGTTCCTAGCAGGCCACAGACGAGTACCATTATCAGTGCCATTATAAGACATATGCTACTTCCCCCTCCATTCGTTGTTCCAAAAGGATTTTGGAACTCTAGTCCATGGCCCAGGGATTAGGAACTGGTACCAATCTGAGGCCCCAGAGTTGAGTACCTTTGAATTAGTGATGCTGAGCATTTTTAATATATCTATTGGCCATTTGTATGTCTTTGATTTTTTTTAAGAAATGTCTGTTTCAGTGTTTTGCCCATTTCTTAATTGGATTATTTGCTTTTTCTACTACTGAGCTGCTTAAGTTCCTTACCCCTTTTCAAATGCAGAGTTTGCAAGTATTTTCTCCCATTCTGCAGGTTGTCTCTTGATTCTGTTGTTTGCTTTCTTTGTTGCGCAGGAGCTTTTTAGTTTGATGCAATCCCATTTGTCTAGGTTTGCTTTTGTTGCCTGTGCTTTTGAGTTCTTACCTAAAAAATGTTTGGTCAAGCCAAGGTCATCAAGTGTTTCCCCTATGCGGTAGTTTCAGGTCTTACATATATTAATTCATTTTGAGTTGATTTTGTATACTGTGAAATATAGGGGTCTAATTTCATTTTTCTGCATGTGAATATCACATTTTCCCTGTATCATTTATTGAAAGGATTTTCCTTTCTCCAATGTGTGTTCTTGACTGTCAAAAATCAGTTGGCTGTAAGTACATAGATTTATTTCTGTGTTCTCTATTCTTTTGCACTGGTACATGCATCTATTTTAATGCCAGTAGCATACTACTTGGGTTATAATAGCTTTGTAACATATTTTGAAGTCAGGTAGCATGATGCCTCCAGATTTGTTCTGTTTACTCAAGATTGCTTTGGCTATTCATGGTCTTTTGTGGTTCCATATTAATTTTAGGATTATTTTTCTATTTATCTGAGAAATGTTACTGATATTTTAATAAGACTGTATTGAATTTGTAGATTACTTTGGGTAGCATGAACATTTTAACAATATTAATTATTCCAGTCCATGAACATAGAATATCTTTCCATTTATCTGTGTCCTCTGCAATTTCTTGCAGCAGTGTTTTATATTTTTTATTGAAGATATCTTTCACCTCTTTGATTACATGTATTCCTGGGTATTTCATTTTTTGTAGCTATTGTAAGTAGGATTGCTTTCTTGATTTTCTTTTTCAGATAGTTTGCTATTAGTATGTAGAAACACTGATTTTTATAGGTTGATTATGTATCCTGCAGCTTTATTGAATGTATTTATTAGTTCTAATAGTTTCTTGGTGGAGCAGTTAGAGTTTTCCATTAATATATATATGATCATGTAATAACAGCACCACTTCTAAAATGGGTTGCTCCCCATGTCTCATAACAGATTTAGTACCTGAGTATTAGGAGAAAAGCTGCTGATAAAAGTCACACTATGTGAGTGATTTATTCATAGCATTCTTACAATGTTAGTTTGTCCAGGGACTAATCAATTACTTTCCATTTGTCTCTCGTGTGACTAATAACTTGGGAAAGTTAACAGTTGTAGGTACTAGATATCTATTCAAACTCTTGTCTACCCAACTCAGCTTTCTACATGCCAGAGACTGCACTTTATGAATCTTAACTCGCTAATACTCGCAACAAAATTGTGACATAGATAATGTGTTATATTCAATTAATAGATGGGAAAACTGGACACAGTGGTGTTTGTTAAGTAATCTGAGACTTAGAGATCATACTAGAATATATGTTGGTCAATAGCGATAGAACTATAACATTAATTTTAATGATTGCAAAATACCTTATTGCGTGAATTGTACTATAGTTACCCTAGTTTGTTTAATCCATCCCCCTACTGGAGAACATTCAGATTATTTCCATTTTTTACTGCTATTAATAGTGCCCCACAGAATATCCTTTAGCATGCATGGTTTGTCTTGTGTGATCAAGAAACAGTCTGTAAAATTCTGCATTTTCAAATACATTTGTGTTACATATTCCATTTAAGTAGGTTTGATGTAATCTATCCCAGAACCAAAAACCCTTCTCTGGCTGAGAACGTTGGCTCACACCTGTAACCCCAGCACTTTGGGAGGACGAGGCAGGTGGATCTTGAGGTCAGGAGTTCAAGACCATCCTGACCAACGTGGTGAAACCCCGTCTCTACTAAAAATAAATACAAAAAGTAGCCAGGCATGGTGGCCGGTGCCTGTAATCCCAGCTACTCGGGAGGCTGAGGCAGGCAATTGCTTGAACCTGGGAGGCGGAAGTTGCAGTGAGCCGAGATTGTGCCACTGCAGTCCAGCCTGAGATACAGAGCAAGACTCTGTTTCAAAAAATAAAAAATAACAATAAAAAAACCCAAAAACTTTTCTCTCTTTTCTTCTTCAATCCTATTCCAGCTGCAAGACATTTGTTTGTATTTTTCACAGGTTCTTGATCAAATAAAATATAAAGCCATAGGACTCCTTAGCCAATTATATGTGGATTATGACTTTTAAGCTAAAGGGGTTTCAAGGTACAGAGTAACGCAATATCCTTCCTTGGTCTGATTAAGTTCTGGAGCCAGAAATCTATTTCCACACACACGAAGTTGGCAAAAGGCAAGATTCCAGCAGTCACCAGGCTCTAGGAAGCTTTGCTTTAGAAAACACTGGGTTTAGCCCTGCATTTGTAGAGAAAAGAGAGGTGCATACCAACCTCCTTTCTTCTTTTTGACCTCCCCCACCTTCTCTTCCAGGCCCCTCTGGCAGATGTAATTTGGTGTCCCCTCTAGCATTCTGTCATTTTTACAACTTTAGTTTGACTGATATTGTGAAATGGTTTCTCTGTAACTATAAAGAGGCATGTCAGCTTCTAAGATATCAACAGGCAGAAAGAAGAACATGATTCAACATATTATTTTCCTTGATAATATCCCATGAAATCAAGTTACACAGGTGTAATTATACATACTCTTACCAATGGGTATTCAGAGGGAGAGGATAGGCGATGGCCCAGGAAAGGATGAAACAGGAATTTAACTCTTCTTTCAGGTGAACTGTTTCATTTACCATGCTTTCTTTCACCATCACAAAATACAGAGCTCAAAAAACACACAATGATCAATCCCGTGTGGAAGCCACAAAGCACCCCTTCATGAACCAAAAAACTCAGATCAATTATTCTCAACTATTTCTCATGTTGACAGAAATGTACACAAATAATCCTAAAGCAGGAGAGAAATAAGCAACTCCCTAAAAATGAAATTAGAGAAGATATAGCAACCATCAGCAGGCAAGAATACCTTCAAAACATCCCAGAACTGAAGAGTTAAAAAAGAATATGTACATCCAGTGTCTTTATTTTATCTCTAATTAATTGTCAGGGTAAGTGACTCTGCATTGAGGAGGAAATTTAAACAACTGAGACTTGCAAAGAGTGCAAACTAGGTCCCATGGTGCCTCTTCACAGCTTATTTGTATCATCGCACATGGAGGAGTAGTTTCTATTGAGAGTATAAAATCATTAACTGATGGCACATCTGTCATTATGGCCAACAGAAGAGTACTCTAACACTCCCTATGTCCACCTGCTCCCAGAAACATTCCTTCCCAGAAGGGATTCTGATTCCTACCTGTGTAAGTAGCTTAGAAACCCTGAATTCAATATATTAGGACTTTGTTAATAGCTCACAGACTTATGTGAAGATATTAAGTAGATAAAGTCCTTTTGCATATAGCGTAGTTTTATCAAGATGTGTAAACACTTTGTGTTATCACCGTAAAATGTGCAACATTTAAAACTAAAGTAGAGCAATTTCTGCTCTTTTAAATATTAATATTTGCATGCTGAATTCTTCTCTTGGGAAGAGTTGACATGTAACTAAAAATCTTAATCTGCTGATTTTATTGTCAATGTAGGTAATTCTTAAGGAGAGAAGCTAGAAGTTACACTTTTTGTAAGGAATAATTTATTAACAAGAATTAATTGGTCACTTGGTTCAGATCATTGCTTTAAATTTCACTTTACATTTGACAGAAGTACCTTATAAAAATGTAAGAGACATCCTCTATTACTTAATACCATCTACTGATATAATCAGGGTTTCTTTGAGGAAGCATTCAGTTTACATCCTTCTTTTCTTTCTTTAAGAATACTATCTACACTAGTTTTTTTTTTTTGTACTTTAGGTTCTGGGGTACATGTGCAGATCATGCAGGATTGTTGCATAGGTGCATACATGGCAAGGTGGTTTGCTGCCTTCATCCCCACGTCACCTACACTAGTTTTAAAGTACCTAGTCATATAAACCAGGGCTAGCAGAAGAAGCTCTTATGAAACCTTGAATACCATGCTGCATTTGACTTTCAGGGCACATTTGATTCAGTACCCAGGGACACCGTACTAGCTTCCAAATTGTACTTTCATTTCTTCTTCATTTCATATCGTGATTGTTTAGCAGACTTTTTTTTTTTTTCGCCCCAGAGTGGAGAAGGTGGGCAGTTCCCCGAGAGAGGAAGCACAGAAATCGTAAATGAGAGCTGTCTTCATTCAAGGTGCTCAAGAACACCCTGCGGCATTCTGCTACCAGGTGAATGGGTCTTGCCCCAGGACAGCACATCCTCTGGGCATCCAGTTGGTCATCTACCTGGCCTGTGCAGCAGGCATGCTGATTACCGTGCTAGGGAATTTATTTGTGGCACTTGCTGTGTCCTACTTCAAAGCACTTCACACACCCACCAACCTCTTGCTGCTCTCCCTGGCCCTGGCTGACATGTTACTGGGTCTGCTGGTGCTGCCCCTCAGCACCATTCGCTCAGTGGAGAGCTGCTGGTTCTTTGGGGACTTCCTCTGCCGCCTGCACACCTACCTGGACACCCTCTTCTGCCTCACCTCCATCTTCCATCTCTGTTTCATTTCCATTGACCGCCACTGTGCCATCTGTGACCCCCTGCTCTATCCCTCCAAGTTCACCGTGAGGATGGCCCTCAGGTACATCCTGGCAGGGTGGGGGGTGCCAGCTGCATACACTTCCTTCCTCCTCTACACAGATGTGGTAGAGACAAGGCTCCGCCAGTGGCTGGAAGAGATGCCTTGCGTGGGCAGTTGCCAACTGCTTCTCAATAAATTTTGGGGCTGGTTAAACTTCCCTTTGTTCTTTGTCCCCTGCCTTATTATGATCAGCTTGTATGTGAAGATCTTTGTGGTTGCTACCAGGCAGGCTCAGCAGATTACCACATTGAGCAAAAGCCTGGCTGGGGCTGCCAAGCATGAGAGAAAAGCTGCCAAGACCCTGGGCATTGCTGTAGGCATATATCTCTTGTGCTGGCTGCCCTTCACCATAGACACGATGGTAGACAGCCTCCTTCACTTTATCACACCACCACTGGTCTTTGACATCTTTATCTGGTTTGCTTACTTCAACTCAGCCTGCAACCCCATCATCTATGTGTTTTCCTACCAGTGGTTTAGAAAGGCACTGAATCTCATGCTGAGTCGGAAGATTTTCTCATCGCATACACGCATTGCTGATTTGTATCAAGAATGATTCCTTCTACCAAATGAAGGCAAGGAGTAGGACCTCATAGGAAGGATGAGTGGGCTGTGTGGTGTTGAGCTTGTGAGCATGCTTCCAGGTACCATGGGTTAAGCAGAGGAAAAAGACAAGCTCCTTAATTTGGAAAGAGATGAAGCTTCCCCCTCATTCAATGTTTTTATAGTGCATTGGAGGAAAAGGAGAGCATGAAACCATCTTAATATCCCCTGGATAAGCCAGAACACTGTGCACATGCTTGGGTCCTAGTTCATTGCTTCCTTGAAACAACTAAGATGCAAAGATGGAAGGAACAGAGCACTGAGGTCTGGCTTTCTGAGTTCTTACACTGGTTCTGCCACATGGAGCAGCCAGGAGAGATTTCAACAATCTTTGAATCCTCCCTTCTCCTGCCACAGAGTTTTTCCATTAAAAATTAGGGGTCTGTACTATTTCCTTTCTACTGTGTTCTTAAGTGAAAATATGGTGTGATCTAACTTTAGGAAACCTAGTTTGAATCATAATTTCACTTCATATTTCATAATCATAATCAAGTGTTCAGAATGTCTCTTTCTCAAAATGTTCATTTTAGAACCCCCATCTCCTAAAAACCCAGGCAGTAAGCAGGTTTGTCAGCCAGGTTTGTCCATTGTAATAACCCCTCAGTAAAAGTGTCATATTCTTGAAGGAATATTTTTTCTTATCTTTTTGAATAATTTAAACCTGAAAATACTTGGAATATTTGGTTAAATGATAATTATCGATATCGTTCCATTTTATTACTTCTTCCTTTCAATTTTTCTCACACAAGTTAGAGCTGCTATCTTTCCAGGGACACCAGGACATGCTTTTGTTTTTGTTTTTGTAAAAACAAGCCCCTGTGCCACCTGCTTGCTCAGAATTGAACCAAAGGTTTCTCGCAGCGATCACTGGTAAGGGCACTGGCACCTTTTTGCACACCCTGACTATCTTCTGAATATTTTCCTAAAGCCTCTAATCACTGTTCCTTTATATTAGTTACTGATGTTTTTTCAAATTAGTAATTGCTTATTTGAAAAACTTCTTTATAAATTAGTTCAAAGCCTCTCAACTACAGATGCACAGACAGGTGTAGCTATAGATGCAGATACAGGTGAATCAATCTCAATGAGTAACTTAGACAATGAAGGAAGGAGTGTAGCAATTCATTTGTCAATACTCAGATAAGCAGCCATTAAACAAATTACTTAAAACAACCATTCACATGTCAATAATAATCAGTAAAGGAGTAAAAATTTATTTTGTCAATGAAGTTAACTAAAATAGGTTTATTCCATTTATTTATACGTAGATATATGGAGAGAGAGAGAAGTGATATTGAACCCCAAACTTTCTTCCTTATTTAAAAAAAATTTGTTGTGAAAATATTTTTCTATTTATTTTTTAGCACTTAATTTTTCTTTGGAATTAATTATAGTTTCTTTTTTTTGGTAACTCTTAGGCATTATTAAATAATTAAATTACAAATGAATTATAAACTAAAACTTATCCTAGTATATATAGTTTTCTGTTATTAAGATACTAGAAATACTGTGCCTTTTATATAACAATAAATACAATTTGCAACCTATAAGTGAGTCATTCCTTTAAAAAGCATGTTTTTCCCTTGCCTTTCTGGAAATAAGCACCCCATTCCCAATCAACTGGGCATAGCAGTCTCTATCTTGGAAGTAAGACACCCTGCTGCTTCACAAGGTGGAGCTCTGAACTAGTCACTTGCACAGAACAAAGAAGTGATTCTACTTTTTGCACATATTGCTGTTTCCTGTCAGGCGGAGAAGGCTGCCTTAGCCAGAGAGCCCCTCAATGAACGGAAGGGAAGGAACTGACAGTTACTGAGAACCTGTGATGCTCTGCGTCTCACTTAAGGCCTATAAACCTGAGAGGTGGATATTACTACCCTTACAGGGCACACAGATGAGACACGCAAAGACTTGGCAATCTACCTTGGTCTCCTTACTTAAAAGCTCTTAACCTATCTTCTTACTTGAAAACTGTTAACCTGTCTCCTATTTCTCTGAAATATTAGGGAAACCTGGACAGTGAATAAATCTGTGAATAGGACTGACACTAAAAAGCAGGTAGGAGACTTCAGTTTTCAGTGAATCACAGAAACACATGGACATGCATGTCATGGTACAATGTTTGTATCACCAAAGAGCCAGAGAAGAATGAGAACCAGAATCGCACCTTCAGTGGACACCACAAAGGGAAGTGTGAGCTGATGGGTGGAGAGGGGAGGTGCCCGACCCCAGGATTTAAAGCTCAGCTCTTTCATCCTCTTTGATAGGTGAACAGAATGTAAGAAGCAAATCCATTGCACCCAGAAAACTGGGTTAGGCCCTTGGACAAATGAAAGCCTGTACTCAATGACATTCTCTTGAGATCTCAGCAGAGTGTCGGTGGTGATAATAACCCTTATCACTCTCTCTAGCTGAGTCAAAGTTAACCACACATAAGACAAGTGTTCTTAAGTTTTTGTGCCATGGACTTTTTTGACACTCTGGTGAAGACCACGGATCCCTACTCATGATGAAAACTTTTGACGGAATGAAGGTTTTTAAAAAACATGGAATGATAAAGAAAAACAATTGTTAAAATATATTTATATAAATATCTTAGAAATAGTCAAATTTGTAATATAATCATATGTGTGTTTCTTTTTGAAAGCATGAAATAACAAGATCTGCTGGCAGGTGTAATAAAACTACTATAATTTCAAAGTAGTAATGAGCATAAATGAAATTTGATAATATCTGCAACAATGATTTTGAGATTTGAAGCAATTTCTATTGGTGACAAACATCAGAAGTAGTGCTAATACCACTGAGGTTTTGCCTATATTTAAAATGGAAGGAAGTGGTAAAATTTCACATAGAGGTTAGTAAATATAAAGATAGAATTTTTTCCTGTATAAGTTGAGGGACCCCCTGATTTCAGAATATCCTTTAAATGTGAACATTGGGGCATTCTTCGGTGCATGAAAGCTCTGTGATCAGATGTGAACAGAGGCAGTGATGGTCACACTTCACCACTAACTGCTGAAAGTCTGAAGCCTAATAAAAACTCATCTTTATCAAGAGAATCCCACTGGAAGATTGCTTGACAAGCACAATCATTTCTTGGCGCTTTTGTGCTTGCTTAGAATTTTTTGGTATTTTTAAAAATTTCCTGCTTCCTTAAATGTATCAGCATGGTTTTAAATTTCATGTTACATCTTTCTTGTTTTGTATAAACCTGACCATTATATTTTTCTACAAAGACCTCTCAACTTAATTATATTGTTTTCTTACAACTTAGTCAAACCACATTATAGCTCACCCCAATTGGCAGTGTGTGTAAGTACGTAACACACTTGAGTGTATGTGTGTATGAGCAGAAACAGCTGTGTATGTATATGAGTATATGTTGTGTGTATGAGTAGAACTGTATGACCTGTGTGCCATATAGATGGACAAAGGTTCTGAGGAAGGCAATTTCCCTAGCAAGGACCCCTCTGTATTGCTTCTGATTCATGCTGCTTCAAAAAGTTAGTTCTGTAGAGAGCACCAAAAATCAAGAGGTCACACTAACAGCAGCCCACAGAGTGAGAGAGGGAATGAGGCCCATTCTCCTATGCAGGGCTTTACAGCCTGCATACCTTGTCTCTGGAGCTGTTATGGCTACAACGCTGGAAATGTAGAGGAAACCTCTGACTACCAAAGAGAAGGGATTCACTGTCCCGAGAGCTGGCCCTGGGCACCTATCATATGTTGCCACTAAGAGGTATGTTTTCTATACTTTCCACCTCTATTTTATGCTCTTTCCCACTGTAGTTTCCTTCACTCTCTACTGTCTTAGAAGGAGCCAATGTCTCAGACTCACTGATGTGGGGCTTTGTTATGTGACTTGCCTCGATCAATTAACACAGACTGATGTGGCACTTGCTGTGTTCAAACAGAAGCTTTAAATGTAATTGCATGGTTCAGTTCAGCTTTTGCACTTCGTTCACCACTGGGAACACATTGTCTCAATCAGAGCTGCTCCTTTAGCCTGGGTCCCACAGCAAGCAGACAAGTAGAGCAGACCCATAATTAACCCACAGCTGGAGCAGAGCTGCAGCCCCCCTGCAGCCCTCATGGAACGTGTGCAAAAATAAATATTCATTGTCATAAATCACTGAAAGTCTGTTGTGCTGGAAAGTCGAGTAATACAGGCAAAATCCCTGTGTCTGTCCCATGCTGCCCTCTGCCTGTTCCGTTTCTGTCCTCCTAACATTGAAAGTACGTGCCAGCATTGAGTGACCTTTCTCAACTTCCACACCTTGACCTCACCTAAGTGTATTGTGAGGGGCAACACCAGTGATCCTGGGATAGTTTGAAATCACAGGGCAGGCTTTCTTAAGGACAAATATTTTCCTGCATGCCTATTCAATTATTTCCTTTTAGGGAGGGCTTAGACATCCACTGTGGACCTGGGTTCTGAACAGCAAGCCCAGGCACTCTGAAAGCCTTGCATATGTGGCCAGAGGTCCAGCGTTCATGGCCCTAAATTACTTCTCCCAGGTTTTAGGTTCAAAGAAGTACAATGTTACTTCAAATACTTCAGATGTGATTTTCGTCAGCCTGTCTATGCTTACAGAGAATCTGCTATGTGAAGAGTGTGATGCTAAAATCTGTTGAATCCAAAATTCCAGAAATGTCAAACACTGCACCCAAAAAGCTTTCAGTCCAATGGAATAGAAATAGCTATAAGTAAGAACAAACAAAGCAGTATAAAATCAGTTCTCAACACAGGTAGAACAAAGAGCTATAGTGATCATAGGAGGAATTTGTGGCTTATTTGTAGAGGCCAGTATTCAAAAGCAAGGGCTAAGGAGCCAGACAGGCTTGGCTGGTTTCAGATTTGACCCTTCCCATCTCCTGTGTTTTGGGGGAGTTACTCACCTCTCCTTAGCCTCAGTTTTCTCATCTGTAAAATAAGAAAATAGCACTTACCTCATTGTGTTGTGAAAATGAAGTGGGATAATCATGTGCATAAGCCAGTTGTCATAGTACT